CATGACGGAGTGAGCTCCCGTCTCTAGTTCCAGCTCCTGCCAACCTAGCAGTTCGAAAGCAAGAAATTGCAAGTAGATAAATAGGTACCACTTCGGTGGGAAGGTAACAGTGTTCCATGCACCTTGGTGTTTAGTCATGCCGGCCACATGACCATGGAAATGTCTTCGGACAGCGCTGGCTCTTCGGCTTTGAAACGGAGATGAGCACCGCAACCCTAGAGTCGGATTCAACTGGCTTTCAAGCAAGGGAACCTTTACCTTTTAAATTAAAGCCCAGATTGCATTCCGCGGGTCAGGAAGGGGACTGCCAAGTCTATTAGAATTCTTGCATGCTTAATAACACAAGTCAAGGAAGCTATAAACAGTTAAGTGGTTTCTTTTGAAAAGCGGAAGGTCTGCCCCAATGAATTGAACAGAAGGGACCCCATGCCCTGGCAAAAGAAATGTAAGTCAGTATTCAGGCATGCGAAAAACATTTATTTTATGCCAACCAGAGAATCAGTTTTATTTTATGCCAACCAGAGAAGCAGTGGGGCCTTTGGATGAGCAAGAAGTAAAAAGATTGCTAAAGGAAAATGGGGAGATGGCAGACTGCATTCACTGTGGAAAGTGTGGGGCACATATCCATGTCACACCCCTTATTTTCAGGAAGGGAGTCTGAAGAACTGAGTCAGGTTGAAATGACCAGAGGTGAAGGTCTAGTAGACCTACTGGGGAAATTAAAACAAAGTCATCTTTGGGTCTTGCCAATGCTCCCTCTGAGCTATGGAGTCTTGTGAGCAAAAATTCTACTTTGTGAGCTATCGGCATTAAAGTTGTGAGTGGGCGATTTGGCTACTGCATAAATGAGTTTGCTCTGGAGCCCTCCTCCCCGAGCTAAAACAAAAAGGTGTGAGCCAGAGGCTAAAAACTCTGAGCTAGTTCACACTAACTCAGCTTAGAGGGAACACTGCTGATGGCATACATCTGAGAGTCCCCAGGGAACTCAAATGTGAGACTGTTGATTTTAATGGCATAATTTACTCAGATTCTAACCTTTTCACTGTTAGATATATTCGTACGAGTGATGGACAGGGAGATTTTATGTAGACGATTTTATATTTGTGTTCTTATCTGTTTTTACGTTGCTTCTGAGCGGACTGTGGGCTGTAAGAGAATTCTAAAAATGGCTGATTTACTAACCATCGTATACAACTTGTTGCTAAAATGAGTGATTGCTTAATGAATATGTCAACTCAGTGTGCAGCAGTGGTGAAAAAGGCAAACTCTATGACGGGGATTCTCGGGAAAGAAAATGGAAATAAAGCTGTCAACATCCTGATACCTCTGTATAGATCGATGGTGCAGCCTCATTTGAAATGCTGTGTGCAGTTCTGGTCGCTGTAGCTCAAAAATAGACATTGCAGAGCCGGTAAAAGTGCTGAGGAGGATGAGGGGGTTGGGGCACCTCCCCTAGGAGGAAAAGCCGAGGAGTCTCTGGGACCGATTTCACACAAGAGCTGCGCCGCGGTCGCACCTGAGGGGTGACATGATCGAGGTTTATAAGATTATGCATGGGATAGAGCAGGTAGAGAAAGAGGTACTTTTCTCCCTTTCTCACCATACAAGAACTCGTGGGCACTCCATGAAATTGCTGAGCGGTCGGGTTAGAACGGATAAAAGGAAGTCCTTCTTCACCCAAAGAGTGATTAACACATGGAATTCACTGCCACAGGAGGTGGTGGCGGCTACAAGCATGGACGGCTTCAAGAGGGAATTAGATAAGCATATGGAGCGAGAGTTGGACTATAAGGAAGGCCGAGCGCCGAAGAATAGATTCTTTTGAACTATGGTGCTGGAGAAGACTCTTGAGAGTCCCTTGGACTGCAAGAAGATCAAGTCAGTCAATCCTAAAAGAAATCAAACCTGACTGTTCCCTGGAAGGCCAGATAATGAAACTGAAGCTCAAATACTTTGGCCACCAAATGAGAAAGGAGCACTCACTGGAGAATACCCTGATGCTGGGAAAGATTGAAGGTCAGAGAAGACGGGGACAGCAAAGGATGAGATGGTCGGACAGTGTTATAGATGCAACGAACATGAAATTGAGCCAACTTCAGAGGACGGTGGAAGACAGGAGGGCCTGGCGGGAGCTGGTCCATGGGGTCGCGAAGAGTCGGACTCAACTGTAGTGTTCTGGCCCCACTGGTGGACCTCCTGATGGCACCGGGTGTTTTTGGCCACTGTGTGACACAGAGTGTTGGACTGGATGGGCCTTTGGCCCGATCCAACATTGGCGTCTTTTATGTTCTTATGTTCTCATTTTGCCCCGCTTCTATTGTCCAATTTCCCACTCGAAGCCGCACGGCCGCGTTTCGACCCGCGGCTTCGCCCGATTTTCCCCGCAGTTTCGTGATCCTCAAAAAACTAGGATCACGAAACCGCAGGGAAAATCGGGCGAAGCCGCAGGTCAAAACGCGGCCGCGCCGCTTCGAGTGGGAAATTGGCCAATAGAAGCGGGGCCAAGGGAGGCGCGACCGCGGCGCAGCTCTTGTGTGAAATCGGTCTGGGACTTTTCCATTTAGAAAAGAGATGACTAAGGGGGTGTGTGATAGAGGTTTGTCAAGTGATGCCCCCCCCAACACTTTTCCCGACATCTTATAGAGCTGTTAGTCCCATTTTGCAAATGTCCAAATTTGGACAAAATGTACAGATAGAACTCTTTGTCCCTCTCCCAAAACATTAGGACACGAAGGCACCCGATTAAGCTGATTGGTAGTAAATTCAGGTTGGACAAAGGGAAATACTTCTTCGTGAGTGATTCCAATGCGGAATTCGCTGCCAGAGGGTGTAGTTTAGTTTATTATTAATAATACGGTCTGAAGACCGACATACAGAGTAAGTTTAACATGTGCGGGAGAGAGAAAAAACAGTCATAATATACAAAAATAGAAACCTGAATTTAAGAACGTTTAAAATGCAATTCCCGTAATCTAAGAATTAGTGCACAAAACTCAGCGACTGAATGTGTAATCTCTGCATCTTTATCTGATAGGAGCCAATGAAGCCTTGCTTTGTTTGTATTAATGTGCCCAGGTGTCCTATCGACGAATGGGGTAATGATTTTAAGACGAGCCTCACTGTAAAAGGGACAGCTGAAGAACACATGTTCTACCGATTCAACCTCGCTTAAAAGTCATGAGCATAGCCTTTCAGAGTAGGGTTTTTTTGTTGTACCTGCCTTGAATAAGCGCAGACGGAAGGGCAGAACATCTAGCTAGGGCTTCTAAAATTCTTTCCCTCCACTGAAGTCAAATATATCGCCGGCTCAATGGTGCTTTTGATATTTAACAACACCTCAAGCTTGGAAGCCTTAGAGGTGTCAGATTGAAGAGGAAGAAAAGGAGGAGGAGGAGATTGGATTTATACCCTGCCCTTCACTCAGAGTCTCAGAGCAGTTTACAATCTCCTTCCCCTCCCCACAACAGACACCCTGTGAGCAGTGTTCCCTCTAAGCTGAGTTAGTGTGAGCTAGCTCACAGTTTTTTAGCCTCCGGCTCACACATTTTTGTCTCCGCTCAGGAAGGAGGGCTCCAGAGCAAACTGATTTATGCAGCAGCCAAATCACTTGCCCACAACTTTGAGGCCGGCAGCTCACAAAGTAGAATTTTGGCTCACAAGACTCCACAGCTCAGAGGGAACATTGCCTGTGAGGTAGGTGGGGCTGAGAGAGCTCTTTCAAGGACTGTCCTTGAGAGAACAGCTCTGACAGAACTGCGGCTTGCCCAAGGTCATCCAGCAGCTGCGAGTGGAGGAGTGGAGAATCAAACCTGGTTCTCCCAGATTAGAGTCTACACCATACTGGCTCTCAAGCCTAACCATGTTCCCTCTTGCCTCTACAGACAAATCCAACGTCACAGATATCTGCCTCCCCGGCCAGCCGAGTGTGTCTGAGTCCGAGCAGTGCACTCTACAGACAGCGATGGAAAGCGAAAGGGCCCTCTTCTTACTATTGCTCGGGCAGGCTCTGCTGGGCATCGGTGCCGTTCCCATCCAACCCTTTGGCATCTCCTACATCGATGATTTTGCCAGCAAAAGGAACTCGCCTGTCTATGTGGGTAAGGCTTCCCTGGGACTACTCCGGCACCTGATACTCTGTAAACCCAGGCTATCAGAACTGTGGGGCACGATGCACACGAGGCTGGCAAGGTCCCTGAACTGGAGCATGGGAAAAGCCACATCCTTCATTCGCTGTAAGCCTCCGTCGGGGGGAAAAAGACAGGTTACCAGTATTGCCTGTCTTTTTTTCTCCACCAGGGCAGTGTTGCCTGTCTTTGGGATGAGTGTTTTCCCCCGTTCCATCCTCCTGTTTGTGAATTTTCCTCTTTGTGTTCCACCCTTCCTCAATTCTCAAATAACCAGGAGCATTTCTAAAATCAACTTGCGCCCTTGGTCACGTGCAGTGCGTTGCCGCTTTCAGCTCATTTACATCTTTTTTCGCCCTCTCCTGGGTTTCTGGTTTGCATTGATAAAAACACTACAAAGGCCAACCTTTGATATCACACCATAATTCGCAGTGTATGGCACTTCAGCTCACACACACTGCAGCTGTGCCCCTGCGCAGCGATAAGACACTACGCAAAAAGAACCTCCGTGCGCCTGTACTTACGATCTCACGAAGGTTGGGTTTTTTTTTTTGCAGTGTCTTATCAGTGCACATGGGTGAAACTCGCAAAAAGGAGGGGGGGAAAGATGCATTATGGACAGACGGTAGGGAAAAGCTGCGGGTCGCTGCTCTCGCTCTCAGTTTTCTGTACAGAAATCTGGAAACAAAACAACGGAGAATGGCTAATAAATGGGTTCAGCTCCAGAAATGAGACCAGGTAATTCAGAACCCTGAAATCTAGGGAGAAATCTGGGTATGGGGGAACTGTGGGAAGTATTCTGGAACTTCTCACCACTCAGGGAAGTGGACAGCATCTTCCCAAAAGACAAGAGTGAATTCCAAGAGTCATCCCGATGACTGGGGAAAAGTCACACGAGCACCTGAGAAAAGGTGGTCTTTATGCCTGTAAGCGTTAAGAAAGAGGAAAGGCTGAAAGAGTTAGAATCATAGAATGTTAGAATTGGAAGGGACCTTGCAGGTCATCTAGTCCAGCCCCCTGCACTCTGCAGGATTAGATCAGGGGCGGCCAAACCCGCTCAATGTAAGAGCCACATCAGAATAAACATCAGATGTTTGAGAGCCTCAAGACATGAACCAATATTACACACACGTTTTTACTGGGAAATATGCAAATTTGCCTGTTACTGACATTAAATGAGACTGCCAAGAAACATGAAAACAAAAGATAATGGTATTTATTTGTCCAATGCTGTTTGATTCTTTGCTAACGATATTGATTTCTCTAAAAGAGAGAGAAATAGAGAGAGAGGTGGAAAGAAAAGGGAAAGAAAGGTTAAGGCGTTTGGGGTTCTTTAGCTTGGAGAAACGATGGCTGAGGGGGTGACATGATCGAGGTTTATAAGATAGAGCATGGGATAGAGCAGGTAGACAAAGAAGTACTTTTCTCCCTTTCTCACAATACAAAAACTCATGGGCACTCAATGAAATTGCTGAGCGGTCGGGTTAGAACGGATAAAAGGAAGTACTTTTTCACCCAAAGAGTGATTAACACATGGAATCCACTGCCACAGGAG